TTTTCAAAAATTTTGACCAAATAGTTCGAAGAAAAAAATTAAAATTTTCCACGATAATGGCAGAAAAAGAAATTGTAACTCTCCATACAGTTTGTAACTACTAAAAACGCTTCTTCACAGTAAATCCTTGCTGTAAATGCGTTTCGACTGCATTTCGAACTAAGAACAGATGGCTAGCCTTATTTAGATGTCTGGGGCTGTCGTTTCCAGAGAAGTTTCATATTGCACTGAGTATTGAGCGATTTTTGTTAGTTTTTCCGAAAACTAACCATGTTGATGAATCTGGATGCGACAGCTCAGTCTCTCTGTGAAGAGCTTTCGCAGCAAAATCACATGCCAAGCCTATTGTCATCTCTTTTCGCTCCATATTTGAATGCCTTTGCATGGCGAACACTTACTGCTAGTCGAGCTCAGCTGGACAAAAACTGCAAGTTAACACAAAATTGCCATTTAACAGGAGCTTAATATTGTCTTTTTTTAAAATCCTTCATGTTGCTAGTTCTTCCACTCCACCATGCGCTGGATTTTTTGGGAACGAATATTGTGCGTTCTTGTAAATTATTAGCCAGAAGAAGCCTGGCTGTTTTGTGCTCGAGAAGAGTCTCAGTGAGGAGTGAGGAATGTAGCATTTTTATCATGCTTGTTATCTTGATAAGCTTTATCATTGCATTTCTACTCGCCTTCGATTTTGCCAGTTCGTACTTCGAGCTTGCTGCATCCTTGTTGTTCCATGTACGCGCTCCAGTAGCTTCTTTCTTCCCACCAGCAGTCTTCTTAGTGTTCCATAAATGTTTCTTGGCTGCTATTCAGTGGTCCAAATTGTCCCGCTGCTAGCATTGGTTATCTTTACACGCTCGGCTCAGTTCTTTTTGGCGTACACTGCCTTGACAACATCGCCAATTCCGCGATACTTCTCTTAAAAAGATAGTGCAATCTTTTTACGCCTACGGTGCATCATTCCATTACTGATTGGGTTAGTACTAATTTATTCTCCTTAGCCAGACTGATATTTCATATTTCAGCTTCCATGCAACTGAATTGATAAAACAGTGGAAAAACATTACTTTCACACACACACAGTGTTACATTAATGTTGGTGAATACATCTTGTGACTTGGTGAAAGCTATCCATTTTACCCTTTTTTGCTCAGCTTCATGCACAAATCGTTATGCATTTGTGTGGCTTTACAAATTTTTCATCGCTTGATTTTTTTTTGTGGATTTGTTTTAAAACAGGCTTTCGGCGAATCTGGCTTAGGCCGCATATCATAATACAGATTATTTATATTTGATCAACTGTCTGTTTGCCCCCCTGGAGAACGTTCAGTTCCCAAAGAATCAGTTCAGCCGTCTATTTTGACGAAGAACCTTTTCGATATTTTTTTCGTTTCTAGCAGCTGATAAAAGCGTAATTGAAGAAATAAAAATATGGTATCATAAGCGTAAATTGATCCTATTGTTCTGTTTGGACCATTACACCTGAGTCCTGAACGTTTAAATTATTAGTTTTTGTGATAAATTTATGGCCACTGACGTGAACTAAATAGGACTGACGTGAATTCACGTTGCTTGCTGCTTTGAAACTGTGCAAATTCGCGATACAATAAGCTGATCAATTTGTACAGTTTCAGGTTACTGCTGAATTTGGATGAGAATGCTTTATAGTACAGACAATATCTATGAGGAGCATGATCAGCATCATCACCATCATCATCATCATCATCATCATCATCAACAACAACAACATCACTTACAGCACCACTCTCACCATCATCACCACCACGAGCAGCAACAACAACAACAACAGCTTGTAACCTTTCCATTATACTATGATGCATCGACATCGTCATCCTCAGCTTTACGCAGCTACGATCCTTACGATCAGCTCAGTAGCTGTACTACTACTGCAGCTAGTGCTCCTGTAATGCTCAATGAAGAAATGCGAAACTCCCAGGTAAGTCTTCACATGTCTCCAGAATTCTATTTTGCGCTTTAAGCCTTCACTTTGAAATCCCAGGCTGGAACGCACCAGGCGAGCCGGTGCGATCATGCGTTTTTGCATCAAACTTCGAAGTACCGTCTCTCATAGAGGGGAAATGGGGAAGAAAGAAGGGGATTCCACATTATACCACCATTCAGCTGAAGAGGGGTTTAATCATTTGTGCGAATCGATGAATTATCGGCCCATCGCTACCCCGCACAATGATCAGGACAACTTCCTAGCTTTCCCGGTTCTGGAGATGAGGTGAACTGATACATGCCTTATTTCCAACTACCACTGCATTTCGCCGGTTGGGATGAAGATAGTGCATGATTTGTACTCGCGTTGATCTCATTAAATATCTTTTATTTATTCTGCATAAAAATCAGACAATCACCATAAAAATCAAACAATTCTGTCCCCTCACAGTCGTTGCCCTCGTCTTCCCACTTCAGACAGGGTACCAGCTTTTTCCCAATATCCCAAGCCTCTCTTCCCTTCCTCCCTCCTCCCGCCGCTTCCCAGGACGACCTCTGACGCCCAAACCGTCACCACCAACCCCTTCCGCTTTCATCCTACGTCACTTGAGGAGGGACACCACAGTGGCCGCAGTTTGCCTACCAACTCGACCGAATTTTAGTAATTGCCTGCCTGTGCGACCGATCACGTACGCATTTTTACGTGACTTTGGGTCGCTCGGAGGCAGCGGTGTGGTTGGATTTTGTTTGTGGACGGCATAGGTAGGTCCAGGACGGGT